CACAGGCAAGTAGTTCATCCAATAATAATCGTAATTCACGAATTTCATTCATTTCCGAATTTACCTTTAGCGTGTGAGACAAATTTTAAAATTGTCCTCTAACTATAACAGAGAAAATTATGTAAGTTGGAAGGGTATGCCCTGCTGCTTCCCTGTCTCCGCAGCCACTGCAATCATCAAGTTTCACTTCTTTAGAATCATCTCTTAAAATTATCCCACGCCCCAGACGCTCATCAGTTCTTTACGATTAAAGAACTAGGCTAGTGGGAGCTTAGATTAGTAGATTGAGAGTTTTTTACGATTGGAATTTTCTTAAGCAGTAGTAGCTTGTGCTTAAAATTTTACGATTGCGATCAGATAATCGAAAAAAAAAAATCTTATAACCATTTTAGGAATATACATTTTCCCTATACTACCATTCAATATTAAAGATATCGCAGGAATATCCATGCATACGAAAACATTTTGAAATCGAAGAGTACGTGAAGCACTCTCTCCGGCGTCTCGTGCGCTCCCAAGCAGTGCACCATGTCGTGCTGTTAAGCTCTTTTACTGCGTTCACCGTTTGGCAGCGCATCGCCGTAATTCTATATTAGCCCTCATCGTTTTCGCACCGCAGCGAGCCACCGCCGACTTCCAGCGCAGAAGGAAACGGGTCTTGCCGCACAGCGCGGCGCGGAGGCGCGGCATCCGATTTTGGCTTAGTCTTCGTCCGAAACTAGCTGCAAGTTAATTTTAGGAATTTCGCGTGTTATTGAAAGTACACACGTTCAGTCAACTCTTGATGGTATTCACTGCAATATTTATTACGTTTCGGGAATTTATTTGCATTTTATGTTAGGTTTCTTGATTCGAAATGTTTATTTGAAGAGCTTTTTGTGGTAAGTTGGCCGTTCTGGAAGAAACTACTTTTTCTGTCTTCTCTGTTTATGATGCGAGTAAAGATCTTTCCGATAGTATACGCAGTTATTCTACGATTGTTGTTGCAAATACGTGTGTGTGTGTGTGTGTGTGTGTGTGTGTGTGTGTGTGCTTGTGTAAGATAATTCATTATTGCAATATACACAAAGATGGTGAAATTTTTTAAATAAAACAATATTAGTTACCATCACAAGCAATAACAACCAAGATCATAAAATGAACTTTTATAAAACTTGTCTACACGATACTGCTTTTAGTTGATGTTTATTTGTATGAATTCTGCTATCGGCAATAGTCTCAATTCAGACTAACACAAAAACTCGAATTCCCATAGGGAATAAAAGCCAGGTCCATGTGCGCGGGAAGAAAACATTCCTGACTGACTCCACGCATTAAATTACGTAAATAAAATTTGAATATAGACTTATTACATTTAGTCCTAATTAATTTATATTAATTGCTAACGTTTTATTATATATTAGTGTTCCGAATTGGACATTTCAATTCACTCATTCGATGGAGCTGCAACTGCCAGCTGGTTGGGGCACCAGCCGCCACTGCTCTTTAGACAATGTCTTAAAATGCTTCATGTCAAAGCATACTCGTCAAAAAGCTAACCTTTTTGCTTTACCGCATTCAAAATAACAGGTAAGACTGCTTTATTTACTATTCATCACGACGAAAACAAGTTAGCGCAGACCGACTGGTGTAATATACGAAGCGAATGTTTGATGCTTCTTGATCATGCAAGTCACAAAATAATTAAACACTTTTTTTGTGCGGGTTCATATGAAAACATTGAAACCGTAAAGAAATCTTGCAGAAATGTAAATAATAAATTATTCTAAAAATAATTTTACTAGCCAAAATGAAATTCATGGACTCAATTAAGAGAAAGTTTTTGCTGGCTAAATGATGAACGTTGAGGAGCTGTGTTTCGTGAATCCCTCATGGCTTCATCCTATCTTTCGAAAGTAAGCGTTTTTTAATTAGCTGAGAATTACAACTCTTCCTGTCATCCTCTTACCAAACTTTTGAACGGTCTTCGCAACTATACAGATGGCACTTCTTGAAGTATATAGAACGTCCCTTACCATAATAGTCAAAACATTTGTATAGATTTATTCGCTTTTATCTTTCAAATATTGCGAGACAAAAGTGTAAATTACAGCTATATTAAAATTTCTAGAGCATGTTCTCAGACTTAATAGAATCAGTTTTACTCGTACATTAAATAAATCTAAGCTACTCCGAAACATTACATCGATTTTCGACTGAGCAAGGATTGCAAACCGTAATTACATTGGTAAACATTGAACAGATAAAACTGTGCACAGAATATTAATATACATATGCTTGTCTAAGAATAATATGCTTGTGTATGGATCGGAATGATACAGTAGCATTCTTCAAGTTCGGATAAAACAGTATTTGAAACAAGAGATTGTAACAAACGGCTGAGAAAGTCAAGAAAAATTACAATATTAGCCTATGAACTTAACGCTGGAAAACATTCATAAATACACAACTATGATACGTTTTCTTTGATATTGTTTTGTTTTAACCATTTAACAATTTGTTGTCTTTTGCTTTCTCGCTGTAATACACGATTTTGGTATAAAAATGCGGATTCCAACAACACTAATCGAGGCGGTGAAATTCACATAATACATTACAATTTCAAGTAGTTTAATAATAATAACAATAATTATACTTATTATAAATTCAGGGCATTCCATTTTCCAAGCAACGAAGTGGGTGAGTGCGTTCGAGGCGGAATACACAAATGGCAAGCCTGTAGTGCCTTGGAGAGAGCTTCGTTTGTCACTGTGTGCAAGTTAATTCCCCTCACCATTTACGAATTCCACATATTTTGTTAGAGGAAAATCTAGTTATTAGTCACGCTATCTACTTACTGAACAATTCGAAAAAAAGAATTAAATTTCTTGACTATCAAATGAACACATTTGATTTACAAAATACTGGACAAACATGCTATTCTGAGGTACATCCCAGCAGATGAACGGATTTACATCTCGTGAAATGAGTGACGCTAGTAAAGAAAGCACGAGACTCCGCTGTCTCTCGTTCGTCTCGCAGCACTGTAACCAGAGTCTACGTGCGGATCGCGAGTTCAATGCGCGCGCCTTATCAATGCTACATCTCGGATACCAGCTGCAGTGTCTTACAGTTCTATGCTGCAATTTTAGCGTGTGGCGCCGGTTGCCTAGTGTCTAACGGTTAGGCGATAAATGGTACTCTGTTGAACGTAATGCAAGGTAATGTATAGGAACTCGGAACCCAGTGTTCAGGAATTTCTAAAAAGTATCATGGTACGAATACCAGGGTCATCGCGATTTTTTCAATCCCAGATTTCTTCAATCTCTTTTTTCTGCTTGAGAGATTGTTAAGTATGTCCACTCTGCCTATCATAGTAATGGTTAAGATTTCGTTATCGTAACTTACTTTTAGATTTTAGGGCAGAGGATTTCTCTCAGGCTCACCAATAATACAAATCCGCGCATTCGACTGTCCTTTAATAAGGTTGCATCTTAGCCAATTTCCATCTTAATTATTTTAAGTGTAATAAAATAATAATTATTTCATTAATTATATTTTTAAATATTAAAGATGGAAGGTTTTTACCATTCAAGAAATTTGTCTTTATTATTTTGATTCGGGTTTGGGTTCGAGAAAATGTTGCATTCGATCAGTCTCTTTCAATGATAATTACACGCTATTTAACGCTGGAATATCAGGTCTGAATATTACGCAGGTAATGACAATCTCCATTTTATCAATGTAGCCAAGAACGTTATTTCAATTTCCGTTATTCCGGTTTCACTATCCCCATGTCTTGGACCACTTTTTGGAAGTTCATAATTGTCTGGACAAACATTGACATTACTCAGGAGTATTTAATATCGTCTAGTCACATTCCTTAGCCTTCGCACCGCATCTGCTTGTATTACTTTGCGTAAGTACTACACGAAAGTTCATCATAGGTCTCATGGTTTCATAGGTTCATCATAGGTTTCAGATGGTGCTAAAATATAGACCAATTACTAACATTCACCGAATAATTCCCAGCTTCACGAGCTCCACAATGTTTAAAATTCATTCAAGTTAGGCTATGACACATTCTAACGATGGTACATATAAATTGCAAATAAATTAGATATATCTTTACTAAATGTACACTAGAACAAAAAGTTCTAAACATACATAAGTATCGCCAATTCTTCATAAAAAATATTTTCCGAAGGGAAAAAGTCTTGCGAATCCCTATATTAATTACGGATCTATTCATCAATCTGGATTTTGCAAATAATCAATTTTTTAAATTAATTGCATATGCTATAAGTCACTTTGTGCATCTGGTACTAAAGGGTCCGTGAATTCTGTCCCAGATTCTGTTCGTCGTGTCTTTGTGAGAACTTGACCTTTCTACAAATTTTTGTCCCAGTTTTCCCATCACTGATCACGCATGACAGTTGTGTAGGAAAAGGGCTGGAGGGTGATAGAGGTAGCTTTGACTGTCAATTTTTCAGCAGTAAATAATGATGATTGGCTAATAATTATGCCGACTGATTAACATGTCAGGCACGTTGAAACGACCATCTAAGAATATCTGATAGTGTCTACCTGGTTAATCACACAAAAGAAGGTTAACAACTTGGCCAGTGGCAAATATCGTGAATATTGTATTCACAAATCGGTTTGGGAAACATTTCGCATTCTGTCAGAACATTGCCTCTCCTGCGGATCTACAAAACGGATCGTTTTGGATAGTTACCTCTAGTATTAAATAGTTAACTTGGAATATTCTTCTGATATTCTTGGAGAAGGAGAACCCGATGAATACATATCAAATTGAATTGTATGAAGCGCTTAATTAACATGAGTTGTGTTGAACATACATCAGCTCGAAGTACCGAAAGTCGATCATGAGCCACCAGGTAGACAACATCCATTTGCACGTTTTGAGGGTACAGCGTGCCTTCGTGACAGCTGCGCCGGCCGGCCGGCGTGGTGCACGCCGGTGCGGGCGCACCACATATCAAGCCATTGCTACTCACCTCAATGCGCCAAATTTGCAGCCCGGCGGCCTGGCCGGCGCCTTCGAAAGCAGGGTACATCTTGCGAGCGACAGCGAACGCTGTGCGGCGCGGCTG